GACGCGTGGCCTGCGCGCTCCGGGGGCTGCTGGCAGCGCGCTCAAGCGGGAGTGATAGCAACTACAGTCTCTTTTCGCCCCATCTCGAGGCGAGCAAAACAACCATTTGTTGCTGATATAGGCTGTGTTCCAATTCTTAGACAGCACGTAGACAGTCTACGCAGACTACTTAGAAGACCGCACCGAGCCCATGCTGTCCGAGAATTGGAACGCGTTTAGACAGCTTTTACACGACGATGCGCTACCTCGCGTCGAGAAGAAAAACCTAAAAGAAACAAACGTAAATGTTGTAATTTCTGGTTTGTTTCGTGTTCAAATCAAAAACAAATAAATTTTACTCACATTGAGCGTCTTAGAAAGCGTCTGCCTGTGTGCAGACGGCCATTCTGGCAAAATTTGATCTATCTGAGCGATTCACTGAGCCGCCATCTTGTTTAGACAGCAAAGTAGCCTGCATCGTATTTGTCTACGATGCGGTCTTCTCCGAGCTGTCTACTTTGCCGGCTACGTGAGAATTGGAATGGGACTTAAGAAGGCCGCCGTCAATTTAGCTGTCTATTTAGCCATCTACGGTGAGTATTGGAACACAGCGATAGAACGGCAAGCTTGCAACCCCTCCCCCTTCAAGGCGATTACCAGCTCTCGCGTAATCGTCTTGAAGGGAGAGGGGGTCGCTATCTTGCCGCTGGTTGCACATCAGCAAAGAACGGTTGTTTTGCTCGCCGCGAGATGACGCGAAAAGAGACTGTAGTTGCTATCACTCCCGCTTGAACGCGCTGCCAGCAGCCGCCGAAGCACGCAGGCCACGCAGGCCAAGCGTCGCCGTGGTTCCCTTCATAAAAATTCACACTGTACGTGCACATTTGGCTTTGATGAAGAAAGACATAGCGGCCATTTCGTAATCACCGCTTTGCGATTCTCATTTCGCTTGTGGAGATTCGCACTTCGTGTCTGTGTTGCAGTTGGTTTCACGCAAGTATTCGCTGATTCTCGTATAGCATTCGTTTTTTTTTTGTGTGTGTCTTTATTATATTCTTACATTAATATAAATTGCGTGCCAGTGAATACTTCGGAGGCATTCAGCAGTCTTTAAATAGTATGTTTATGTTCTATGTTTGTGCAACAAGAACAAAAAAAAAAGAAAAGCGGCGATGATAACGCTAGTGATACTCATGTTAATAATAATAATAATAATAATAATAATAATAATAATAATAATAATAATAATAATAATAATAATAATAATAATAATAATAATAATATAACGATGATGATGATGATTATCTAAATGTCATGGTGGGGGCGGCTATGGCTTATATGAAAGCTGCGTTGCGGGATTTCAACGTTTGATGCCAGCACCGCCTCCACGAGCCATCGTAGCCACGCGACGCAGTTGTGCGGTTACCATCGACAGCATTTGATAATAATTAAGATAAACATAACTATTACGGGGAACATGACGTGGTTTCTCCCATGTGAGGTCAGCCAAGCCTTTCACATAACCGACACTTCGTGCGAGCACGTACATAGGACGTCCACTACGCCGTCGGCGAACAGGCAGCCGTTTAACCAAGCGCATAGAAGTTTGCGCAACTTTGTTTTGTTTTTTTTTTCCTCGTTTCAGAGTCACACGGGAAGTTGACGAGGAAACGGGGCTGACGCAAAACTCCAAGTTATGCCTCCCTCGGTATAGGTATAAGTAAAACCGGGAGTCGGAACGTTGGCACACATCACGGTGCATGCGTTTCGCGTTTGAGAAAAAAATAAAAATAAATAAACGGCGAGTCATGTGTACATGCAGAGGCAGTCGTTTCTGGCAGCGCTGTAAACTTCGAATGTGTGTGGCGTTTGCGGGTTTATTTATACGCTATGTTAGAAGCGATGGCAATACCCATAGGCGTACCAAGAACTTACAATTAAGGGGGTAAGGGGGAGGTAGGGGGGCGAGCAAATTCTTAACACAGCCACCACCCCCTTTCCCCCTGCGCCCCCACCTTGTTGGTATCTGAAGAAAAGGAAGCTTGGCAATCTATGCAGAAATAAATTGAGAAAAAAAAACCTTTCATGTACGAAACACGCACCACGGTAACACCGAAAGCTGGAGAAGCGACCCCCCCCCCCCCGCCCTTTTTTTAATCTCCTGTGGTGGACCAGCGAGGTAATAATAATAATTTCTTCTTTTCCTTTCTTATTTCCTTTCAGGTTTAAAAGTGTGCAGTGAACAGCTCTCATATAATGCCACCCGAAGTGTCTTCGGCGGTTATTTAAATCGTGGAAAAACTGCACGGCCATATGCCTGCACTGCGAACAACGACCGGTACAGGTGCGACTGACTGATGTAATTATGGGGAAGACTTGGCGCGTACTTAGGTGATCAGAAATGGGACAGGGCAGGCAACTCTTCTCCTCTCCCACGCACACTTCTATCAAAATGCTGCAGTGTCTACACTACGATATTAATCTGCTCCATGGTGTACTTACAGCGATCCGAAAGAAAGCTTTAGGTGCGTGAGTTGCTTTGTGCATAGACATGATAAGATGTTTGTGAATAATAATAATAATAATAATAATAATAATAATAATAATAATAATAATAATAATAATAATAATAATAATAATAATAATAATAATAATAATAGTTTTTATGACCCGGAAGCATGGTATGATTTATAGAGCGATGCTATTATCCCGAGTTTTCGACCGTGTGGTGCTCTCTAACGTGCACTAACATCTCAGTAATTCAGAAATTCAGAAATGGTTTTATTTTGTCATCGAATCAATTACAAAATTTTGTGCACAGTACAGCAGCCTCTATACCATTGTGCATTCACTGAAATGTGACCGTCACGGCCGGGTTCGAATCCATGCACGATTTTCGGCATGTCAGTCGAGAACCGTATAGCCATTGATCCACCGTGACGGACAGTGGATAATACAGTTCCGGCAGGTCAACTACGTTCCGACCACGAAGGTCACTCCTTTTTTACCATCACTGCTAATAGACCCATCTGTCAGCCTCACACGTTTACAGGTTATACAGCGCCGATGGAGAAACGACGAGTTTGGTCTGACCCTCAACATCTTGTCATGCCAAATGCCTCACGTACATTGTTAGATCAGTTCCGTTGGTGTAACTATCTAGGGTTGGGTGGAGAAGCTGCAAACGCTAAAACTCTGTCAAACAATAATTTAAGAGGGGTGTTGGCGGTAGCCGCGGCCAGTGATGAACTAGGCTAATACTTACGGGGTAATCATCGAAAATTATTGATCTAAAACCTTTTATGCTGAATTAGTCATACCAAAACTAACACCCCGTAACATTCGGTACCGGTGTCACATGGTCACTTTTCATCACTATCGGGACTTCTTGGAGATGACTGACTTCTTTTAAAAAACTGCAAAACGAAGCCAATCACTGCTGGGGAATTCGATCATAATCAGGCTTAATCGCGATTTGCAGTGTTCCGTGTGACACCGGTAAATAAGGAACAAACATGTGTGTGACGTAAAATGTATATATGTACGGGGAGAAAAATCTACAAATGTACCAGAAGCCTCAAGGCATGCTATATATGTGGCGCTTGAAAGGCTTTAGTCAAGGCATGTAAAGTGATGCGAAGAAACACTTGGTGCAGAGACATGCGTTCGGCTCATAACGTTCCTTCATTTGTTTGAAACGTCAGCAGCAAGTTCGAATTCTCTGCGTCATCATTTAAAAACGGAGAAACGCCATATATATCTCCAGGTCACCCACTAATAAATGAGAGAAGTAGCTCTACATTTCTGTTATTAGAATCAGAAATATTATTGTTGCCATAAAATCAAGTTACTGAATCTCAGTATACAGAAGTAGGTCCTGGAGTCAGACACTGAATTTAGACCTCCTGTACATGGTATATATGAAAAAAAAAAGACTTATAAGAAAAATTACAATATGCATTTTAAGATCAATAATCGTGTGCATTTCGAAGACATAATGTAAACATAACATAAGAAACATGTGTTGCACTTAAAAATATTGAAAAGAAGAGGTTTACACGTTACGCTATATAAGAAAATATTGAAGTATGCTTTAGCGGCTGAATAAAAGCAACGTTATTTAATGTTATATCGATTCATAAGAAACTTTTTTTAGCATTCGACAAATGAGCTTACAGTCGTTGATTTCAAGATAGACTGTAGTGAATTCTATAGGCAAAATAATGTGGCGGCTGCATTTCCGATGGAGGCGGAAATGTTGTAGGCCCGTGTGCTCAGATTTGGGTGCACGTTAAAGAACGCCAGGTGGTCAAAATTTCCGGAGCCCTCCACTACGGCGTCTTTCATAATCATAGGGTGGTTTTGGGACGTTAAACCCCACATATCAATCAATATAAGCAAAATGAGCTAAAATAAACGGTTTGTTTGCAGTAGTTAGTTCGGATTGGTGGACTATCGAGGTCGGCCAGCACAAAGCTGCATTGCTCATCATGATAAGAGGCCTCGTGGACGTGTCTTTTACTTCCCTGAAATACACGTTATCGCTGGGCGCCACTTTTCACCGGCGCTTGCGCCAACGGAGCGAGATGCGTTTCTTGTTTCGCCTTGTTCGCTCGCAGTTTGTCTCGTCATTCTAATTAGAGCGGCAAAAACAAAGGAAAAACAAGAGCACACGTTGGTTATTTGAAGACAGAATCGACCGAGTGCGAATCTGCTCTGCGTTTTGTCGCCCGTATTTCTCCGTTCTATCCTTCTCGCGGCCCGAACGAAGGAGGAAGGAAAAAGCGAAACGCACCACTGCCTAAAAAAACTGGCCCCGGAGAGAACGCGCCAAAGTCGCTTGCCGCGCTCGGCTACCTCGAGCGCGCACCATCGCACCACCACCGGCATCCTCCAATCCGCGACTGAGCTCTGGCATCGCTCCGCCAGGGGCCGCTCAGTACTGAGTCATATGTTTATTTCATATTGTTTTACCCTCAGCCTCCTTGCGGCACAGTAAAACACTACTCGGGCACCGCCCCCCTCTCCCACCTCGCCTTGCGTGCATCCGTTGGTTTGTGCCTGTAGTATACGCTGCTGTAGCACCCTGCCCACGGCGGGCCAGCCGCAGTCGTGCCCGTCGATTTCGTGCCGCCGTGGGGCCAGCCCTGAAAGACGACGTCGCCGCGGCATCGTCCGCTGTTTCGCGCCCTGTACGCCGTTTTATCGTCATCGCGTCGTCGTTGAAACCGTCTCCTCCAGTGTGTCGCCGACGTTTCCTCCCATGGGATTATCGCCGGTCGTCGGCCTCTGACAGCTGCGTGTGTCAGCCCTCGCGACACGGTGAGTAGCGCCGCTACACCCATTTCGACGTGCTCGCTAACTCATCTCGTTACTTTTTTTATCTTGCTTAGCGGTGTCAAGTATACGTTCGTTCCTAGGCAGAGACGGGGTGTTTCGCACCTACACATCATCGATAACATGCCCTCACTGTGACATACTATTCGCCGAGAATATCGTACAAGTTCGACCAGCTTCAAAGCTATGTTGCACCATAACTGCGGCCGCTGAACGCTTTCTTTCTTTTTTTATTTCCTTAGCTACGGTGTGCAAGCATGTTATTCGAAAGAGGGTAAGGTAATAGACGATTTCTGCGTTGAACATGCCATTTTGTTCTGACAGCTGATACTCGCATTTCGGGGCAGCTATCTTTTATCGCCGGAAAAGTGCGTGGCTTATCCACAGACAACTGTATTATCATCGGGTGCACAAACACGGCTTTTCACCATTGAAACCGGGCAGATAAGTGAACAAAAAAAACAGCACTCACGACTCAAACATGGGCAAATCAGCCCGCTGCTCCAACGCTTAAACGGTCGCAGCATGTTCACTCATTGCACGCGCAGTCCGGCAGGCATCGCGGCAGCCTGCGTGTGGCGAGCGCAACGTTTCAAGGATGCTCTGAGGGAGTTTAGATGATCGGAACGACGTATGTATGTAGCCAAGCGTGTACAGCCAACATCGCTAACGACGTTCTTCCATTGAAAAACGTCCACTTGTGACATCTCTGCATGCAACTATAGGATGCCATGCTTTCTCCGTTATCACGCTTGGCACTGCATCCTTACATCGGCCCGGCGTCGCGCTCGTCACTGTACTTTCTTCACGCGAGTGATGGAAGGAGAGGGACTCCGGCGCTCCTCCTCCTCCTTGGTATCGGCGCGCGTGCGCCGCATGCAGATGGCCATGCGGCGCGCGTTTTCCATCTGAACAGATAACGCGCAACCGACACAAGGACCGCTTCTATATTTGGTGTATGTTCACACGCTCGCTTTCTCCACGTATCGCTAACAAGTGATCTAGGTGGAGCGCTCAATGTACGGGAGAGGGGGGGGGGGTTACGCACTGTCATTGAGATAGAGAGATACGTTATCATATGAACGCTTGGGTGCGTGTTACATAACAATCGCACGGCATCGTCTAGTGGTGGAGAGAACAGCACTGTCGTGTAAGGTGGAAGCTTGTTTCGAAGACGTTTTTTTTTTCTCTTTTCAATGCTCTTGGTTACGCAGATAGTAGGGCAAGCAGCCCTTCGCGCACGACCCGACGCCTAGAAATTTCGATAAGATAAGCAAGTTGATGAAGCGGCTGAAATTGTATAAGGCCGAGATCATGTGTGGGGCTACGGCATGCCTCAGCCCCACTTTTTCGCAAAACCTTAGCGGTGCTCGCTGAATGTTCAATGAAGTCTTGAGCACACCGAGCACATTGTTTATGGAATTCAGCAGATATGTATTAAATTTGTTAATGGGCAGAAAAGTGCACAACGTGTGTACATATGTTTCATTGGGCCGCTATGCATTAGTCTGAGTTAGGGCAATACGTAAAGTAATAAGCCATTCATCAAGAAAAATGTTAACGGAGCCAATGTTTCGAGAAGTGCTTGTATCGTACATACGCTGTATTTTCTGGCATACAACTCGCCCCCCAAAACCGGAATGGTCTTAAAAAGGGGGATGCGGGTTATATGCAAAGGGTTACCCGCACGTTTTCATTTCTTTTGGTAGTGCTAAGCTTGGGGGCGCGGGTTATATGCAGGGGCGGGTTACATGTGAGAAAACGCGGTGTATGCGCCTTTGAAACCGTTGGCTCTGTGCAGTGACAGTCCCTGCTCAATATTTTCTTACACTTCAGAGCTGCATCTTTCCCTCAACTTCTCGCTCGTTTAGACGATAAGTTTCAGCAATGGCTGACGCAAAGCTAGCTTGCGAGGTTATCAGCGTTTGCAAACGAACACACGCAGTAATAGAGGAGCTCTAGGTGGCGTGGTGCCCCCAACGCTGCCCATATTCGTTTGCGTATATAGGTGCCAAAAACATCGTTAAGCGGCACACTTGATTTGAGCTGTCTCCTGATGAAATCCCATTACTGTTCCCATCTACTAATTGAAACTATTATTCGCTATGCTCAGGACTCGAGGTTTCCCATTTGTCCGGAAGGGGCGCCACAGCCGCCATCAAGCGGGTAGGCATGCTAGGGGGGAGTCAAGCTAGACCAAACGCGTTATGAAGTACACAAAATAAACCTGTCATTGTTGAGAATAAACTAGGTAATTGGTTTGGCTCATTCCAGCGTAGTGCTACATGTCTCGAACTAAATGCAGCCGCTGATTAGAGCTGCTGAGTTATGCATAGAGGAGGTTAGCGGGGGGCTGAAGCAGCTTCTCTGAGATTCCACCACCTGCCTCCTCCCTAAGCGAGGCATCCGACTGCACTATCACTGTTGTTGCTGGGCGACTGTTGCGTGCAGGCACATCCGCTCGATGCGTGACCGCGACCCTCACGCTACAGCTGCGCTATTTTTTATATTTTTTTCGATATCATTAGCGTTTCCCGGTCGAGGCTACGCGACGTATCCGCAGTGCGTGAGTTCATTTATTGCGCTTGTGTGGGTACCATCCGCTCTTCAGTCGACGGCTTTCTCTCTACTGAGCGTCGCAAGTGATCCCTGCCAGTCACTGCCGAAAGGGTCAGTGTGCGTATAGGGAAGACACACCACGAGGGCTATTTTCTTCTTTGTTTTATTAGGTAGTCGATAACCTCTTATAAACTAAATATGACGGTTTGCCTTGCTAAGCGACGCTAACTTTGGAGCGATTGTAATTGTTGACAAACTACTCATCTAGTGCACACATTACGAGTGTACGTTACCTCGGGCGAATCTGTCGTTCTGTAAGTGTATGTGCTTACGTGAGACCGCGTATATATACTCAACGACTTTTATAGACGAGTTACAGATGGCATTGCGGCAGCGACAGCCGTAGCTCGTACCACGAGAAATTCCCGGTGAACGATCTGCGTCGTCTGCCGAATATTTCGCGAAGTCGCAAATGAACCTCTTCGTCGCAAAGCGACCATTTTGACTCACTTGCTCGAGTTTCACTCGCACGACTGCCGTCGCAGACCTCTGCACCAGTCATACGCGCAGAAACGGCACGTTTGCTTATTTTGCGGGACGATAGCTATGAGAGAACTCAGTGTGTCGACTGGTAGAAGCCGAACGCAAAGTCGGTCGCGTACCGAGTCGCTCTTTGGTCGTCATTTGCAAATAGTCGCACGACTGGTGTTAGTCGTCTTTGTAAAGGAGGAAGCTAGAGTAGGAATTTAACTTTTGGTCATGCCCACTGCTTTTTTTCAAATAAACGAAATCCTTATTCGTGAGGAGTATGTAAACGCAATGGGATATATATTATACAGGACGAGGTTCCACTGGCTGAAAGGGGACGTCCTGTTAGAAAATAACTTGTGAAGTGCAAAAAGTGGCATCAAAACAGCATTAAGTATTTATGCACATCTATAAAAACAAAGCAAACGTACATGAATAATAACTGTAACAATAGCGAAGTCAGTCATAATTATAAATCGTTGAGAAACGCCAATGTACAAATACAGATAGCGTATGAGGGCGAAAATTCGAGATGGCCAAAATTTCCGGAGCCCTCCACGACGGCGTTTCTCATAATTATATCGTGGTTTATAAATGTAAAAGCCCAGACAAAATAGAATGCACATAAGAAAAAAATAAAATGATTAAGCTTTTTAAGACGCCCCTAATGACCATTGCTTTTGTTTACTGGTATTGCTAATGGTAAATGTTTATTGGAATGAGTTATCCCTGTGCGACAGGTTTATGAGATCTCAAGCGCTGACTCGGCTGAGATTTCCCTCCGTTTTTCTTCCAATGGTTATTAATTGCAGAACTCCAATTTAGTATACTATAACTTAGCTAGCTTGTCCTTTCTCCGCCGTAGCTGTAATGATGCTTGCGCACAATATTATGAGACTAGAATGAACGAAGCGTGAAGGAAACAACGTACAGATGAAATGCTTGGGGCGCCATTTGATACACTTACCCGCTTTAGCAATCAGCGGCACGCGTGTTCTGAGTATGCGACTAATCTAAACTCGCTAACGTTGCCTTGAGTGAATTATGCATGCGAAAAAGACATGGTGCAGGCTTGTTCTTTACAAATTGGCTTTATTTCCAACGTGTTTTGAGAACGCACGCTGTGGAAGCGTGAAATATGAGGCTCGCGGCGAGGCTCTCTTTCGCTGAACAGCTGCGTGCGATACACGAAACGACAGCAGGATGGTAATGGAAGCGAGAGCACCTTGTTTTCTTCATGTTGTTTTCTCACTGAAGGGGAGATACAGAAAGGGCAAATTGAGGTAAAGAGGACTCAACTGAACATGTCAGGCATGTAGACAGGAAACTTTTTTTTTGGAGGGGGGGAGGGGAGGGTGGGGATAGTGGGGGTGCTTAGGCACCATTCACGTATACGCGAATTCCGTGTGGGTTTGTATGTGTGCTCGTATGCAGTCTGTACATACACCTTCAAAACTGAAGATGAAGAAGGTGTTCAATGAGAATAAGGAGGGAAATACGGCCAGGAAAGCAGGTTTCTAGTCTGCTATACTCCTCACGGAGATAACGGGAAAGAAAGAGAAAGATGGAGGGATGATGTGAGGTTACTATAAATGGTATAGCACGATGAGTCACTCAGCACACACTGTTCCGTGTGGGGTATAGGACGCACGTGAAAGCCGCTGTATATACTTGCAAAATCGAAACTTCACGGGGGTGGAACTCTCGCCCAATGGACCAGGTTTACGAAAATGCGGAAATGGTGCTCGCGGCGTAGATCCGCCTAATATTATTGACATTAAACTGCCTGAAGCAATCAGTCACTATTTGCGGAAAACGCGCGCCTTGCATGTGCACACAGCTGCTGCAACCTTAATTGCCTGTGTAATGCGTCGGCGCGGCCGGTCGGATACCACGTCTTAGATATGCCTGCTTATACGGATGTCCAGCATGTTCTCCGGCTTCGACAAGACATATTAAACAGCTGATCCAAATGACGCAAAATAAGAGGCCGTTGCAGCGATAGGTCGTGTTCTTGCTTGTTTGTGTATTATGTGCGTGATATCCTTGGGCCGCACTTGCCTACACACATCCGCCCATGTACATCCCCCGCATTACCGGATTTTCAGATCATAAACGCGACGCCGACAACGTTTTCTTTTCCTGATTAAGTGACGCCACTTTCTCCGGAAATTCCCTATCCGCGGATGCTTGATCCTCAAAAAGAAAAATAAAGGAAGAATTAAAGGGCTTCGACGGCAGAAAAAAATAAATATAAAGAAAAAAACAAGGACTGGTGCAGACGCTGTGAATGAGAGCTGAAATGTTATAACATATGGAAAAACGGCGGATAGTATACACGTTACACATTTCTTCGTGGTGTCACAGCTGCGCGTCCTCCTAGCCCGCATTTGAGCATGCGTGTTCTATCCGCACGTTGTGTGAATAAAATTTACCAGGTGACGTCTCGCGCTCTGCCCTGTATTTATTCCTTCAAAGCGCGCGATGTTTGCGAAATTGAAACTACGAGGTGTAACTCATATAAGCGAAATTCGTTATCGCACCACAAATGAAAGACGTGACAGTTTTACAGCTGCGGCCGGGACATTGTGGTATCCATTCATGGTGACAACTTCGCCGATCGCGAAGCCTGATGCAGCCTCAGAGTGCCCATACCTCTCTTAAATACATTTACGGAAAGCAACGTTGGAAGATAACTTGGCCACGTTACTAAGCAAGCTCACTGAAATGATCCGCTAAACGCTGTCACTTACAGAACAGTGATCCACTCACACAGCTGCAACTGCCAACGGACACTTCTCGGCGTGACGCTATAGTGTTGTGTCGGCTATAGGTCGGTGTTGTGTCGGGTGTAGGTCGGTGTATCATTCACCAACTCATAGAGCTGCATGTCGCAATCCATGGTTTTGGGGACTCACCCCTGTGCGATAACTGCAAATGTGCAGGACACATATCACCTGTAGTGCCGCTGACCCAAGGCCACCAAAGTCTCTGTTGCGCCTCGAGAAGACTTAATGATCGGCCTTTCCCTTAAGATGAAACATCGGGAGCGTGGCCTCGCAGCTCACCAAGAGAGACATACATACGAGACCTCCAACAGTTCTCGAGGGCAGAGAGGCACGATGAGCTGCGCGTGCGCATTGTGACGTGATTGCACTCACGTTTTCCGTTTCTCCCTCTTTCCCTTATCTTTCGTTTCTCTCGCCTTCTGTAGGGTAGCAAACTGGGTAGCCTCTAATCCTTTCCTACATTTCTCTCTTCATCTCGCTCCCTTTCGCCGAGTTTTTTGTTGCTGTAGTAACTGTATGTCACAGATGATACTTCAGAATTAACTATCCAACTTTCTTCGTTCATTATAGAGTACTTTTTATCAGCGGAGATGTTTAAGATCGGAGAAGCCCCGTTAGTCGCGAACAAAATTATTGTCGTGAACCGGCACGCGCTGTTTTCGTCCTCCTCAGCGTCGCTCCTAGAGCGAGTGCTTCGAGTAGTTTGGACTCTCTCTTTATGGGTGAGAGAATGACCAGAGGGGAGGGGGGGGGGGCGGGTAGAAAAAAAGGATAGGGAAGAAAGACGCGTACAGAGAAAGGAGATGCCAAAAAAGGCAGATCAAAATAAACGCAGAGCAAGATGGAAAGAGAAAGATCCGGAGAAATAAATAGAGAGAGAGATAAATAGAAACAAAGACAAACAGGGTACTATAAATAGTTCAGTAGACGAGAAATGGAGAGGAAGAAAGGACGTAGAAAAAAATATAGAAAGAGTGAGACAGAAAAATATAGAGAAGGAAAGTAATAGAAACAAACAGACAAAAAAATCGGCAGATCCCACATACCTGGGAATCGACGTTATGCGAAGTATGCAGAGGGAAGGTGACCGTGTTACAATTTTTTCATTGGGCGACACGTCATAAAATGACGTTAATATATGTACAAATTTTGCACGGACAGACATATGTTGAAGAGTTGCAGATGTGTATATAATCAGTTGTTTGCACTTGCGCAACAATGCCAACTGGAACATGCGTATTAGCAATACCAGAAGCTGATATGAAGCGCAGATGCTCGCGAGGATGCTGGCACTGGACACTGCTACATAAATCAGCTCGAGTGCATGGCGACTAACCACAATTGACGTTAACCCGACGTGACGGCTGTATCAAAAGAGTACATATGTAATGTTTATAAAATTGGGTAGACAGCACTGCAACCACTATTGACGTTTCACGAAGATTAGCGTCTATTTGAAAAGTAGTTCCGAGGCCTGGCGTAGCTCTGTGGTAGAATGCTCGACTGCCACGCAGAATGCTTGAGTTCGATTTCAGCTGGGACCCTGGCATTTATTCTTTGCATTCGTCTGGTCGACGCTACCGATGTCGGGTATTTCTTCAGGCGCGTTGAAATTGCCCATGTGTTTTCTCGTCGTTCCTGGGTAGATACTAAGTGCCAACCACCTGTGGCACATACCCACACACCAGCCGCACATACCTGCCCGTGGGTATGTGCCACTGTTTGACGGGAACTGTTTGACGACGTACGCGACGGGATTGTGACATTATTTATGTCTTGGCTAGCGCGTCCTGTTCGTCAAACCATCTTACTCTTCCACGCTAATTTTGGTTTACGCCAAGTTAAGGCGGTGCCTACGAGAGCACCCAAGCGTAAGCGGCTAGATAGATAGATAGATATAGATAGATAGATATAAATAGATAGATATGGATGGATGGATGGATGGATGGATGGATGGATGGATGAATGAATGAATGAATGAATGAATGGATGGATGGATGGATGGATGGATGGATGGATGGATGGATGGATGGATGGATGGATGGATGGATGGATGGATGGATGGATGGATGGATGGATGGATGGATGGATGGATGGATGGATGGATGGATGGATGCGCTCAAAGTCACCGAAGTTTACTAAGAAATGCTTAGCATTTAAAAGAGGGAGATAATAGAGAGGCGGGAAGACGGAGAAAAACGTGGGGAGCAAGGAAGGCCGCTCAGCTCCGCACTACGTTCGGGCTTAGCGCCGCAAGTGTGAAGCTGGCTTAGTCTTTTGTCTATTTGGACGTCGTATTAGGGTCGCGATGCGTCAGACAGTTTGTTAACCAACAAAGAGCCTAACGAGGTCGAGTACTAGCCGCCATAAAGAACAAAGCATAAAGTAGGGACTTCACAGAAAAACGCGTGCCAAATAGGATCTCATTCTGAACATTAGCATTACACACTTCCATCTCCAATGTGAAAGGTGAGTCTGGCCGGTACTCGCCAATATGCCGATGATAACAATGTTTCTAGGCACAATGCTCAAATACGGCCGGAGAGCTCTGATTAAGCTATATACAGGCCTCCGTTCTGCATATTATGAGCTACTTTACATAAATAAGATATTTGGACTTGTTGCCATTTTTTTCGTATTAAATTTGGTACAAATCTTTGACTGAACGATAACATGCTGCAGCTCCTGTTCTTATTTATGGTATCTGCTATGAGCATACACTGCCTTCAACAGCACTCACAAGAGATACGAAGACACCACACTTCTCAGAACGACTGGATTAATCAGCAGGCTGATACACCGGATTATCTCTTGGCTAACTACCAATTGTCCTATGAGCATACATTGCGTTCAACAGCACTCACAAGAGATACGAAGCCATCACACTTCTCAGAACGACTGGATCAATCAGCAGGCTGATACACCAGATTAACTCTTGGCAAACTACCAATTGTCCTATGAGCATACATTACATTCAACAGCACTCACAAGAGATACGAAGCCATCACAATTCTCAGAACGACTGGATTAACCAGCTGGCTGATACACCAGATTAACTCTTGGCAAACTACCAATTGTCCTATGAGCATACGTTACATTCAACAGCACTCACAAGAGATACGAAGCCATCACAATTCTCAGAACGACTGGATTAACCAGCTGGCTGATACACCAGATGCACTTGGCAAACTACCAATTGTGAGAGACAAGCATTGCCAGATTCCTCCATATTTTTTTGTACACTTATGACTTATGGAGCAACATTTTTTTAGATAAACGCGTAATTCATTCATTCATTCACCCCAGTAGAACAGCGTCACGTCTCCGAGAAGAAGAAAGACGAAGAAGCAAGCACGAGGCGTGGGCCAAGAAGACAGCTGGACGCCATGGCCTGGTTTTCCAACAAGAATAATGCCAAGGCAGTGCGCTTCCAAAAACTTGCACCGCAAGTGGACGACCGCCGCACCGAGGACCTGTGGCTGCCGTTGCGAAAAGCCTTCGACGAGATACTGCAGAAGCGAACCACCAGCCAAAACTTCGAGCAGCTGTATAGATGCGCATACGCCATGGTGTTACGGAACGAAGGGGAGCGCCTCTACAAAGGTCTGCGCGAAGCCATCAAAGAGCACCTAGTGAACAAAGTACGTCCACTCGTGTTGGCTGAAGTTGGCGACGACTGCTTGCGAACGATCAATCAGGCCTGGGAAGACTACCAGACGAGCATGGGAATGATTGGCGACATCGTAATATACCTCGACCACGCATACGTGCCCAAGAACGACGTTGACAGTGTGAGGAACCTGGGTGTGCTGCTCTTTCTTGATGAGGTTGTGCACTACGACGTCGTGCAGGACCGCCTTCGTGACTCTATGCTCGGCTTGGTGAAGACGGAACGAGAAGGCATTCCAGTAGACAGGGCTTTGTTGAAGAAAGCTTGCTCAATGCTTGTAGTCTTAGGGCTCGGCTTGAGGTCAGTATACGAACAAGACTTCGAGAAGCCCTTCCTGGACGAGTCGGCACGATTCTACGCGTTGCGTGGCCAACGTTACATTGGAACGAAGGACTGTCTCGAGTACATCGCCCAAGTGGAACAGCACATCAATGAAGAGTCAGAGCGGGCGAAGCAATGCCTCGACAAGTCCACCGTGTTTGCAGTCTTGCACGTGGTAGAAAAAGAGCTCATCTGGAAACATATGAAGGCCATCGTGGACATGGACTCGGGTGTCGAGTATATGCTCAAAAACCAGACGATGGACGACCTGGCCCGATTATATTGGTTGTTCAAACGCGTTCCAGATGGCGTCAAGACGTTGCTCAATTGCGTCAGCAAGCACCTGCGCAGTACAGGGAAATCTGTCGTGAACGAGCACGGTGACTCGGTGAGCTTAATACCACAAGTGATGGAGCTGAGAGATCGCTTTGACCACATTCTACAGCGCTGTTTCAACAATGAGGAACTGGCCAGGGACATGATCGCCACAGACTTTGAGTGCATACTCAGCAACACGCACAAATCGCCCGAGTATCTGTCGGCATTCGTAGACGACATGATGCGGAAAGGAATTAGAAACATGACAAAGGAGGAGACTGAACAGTTGCTGGACAAAGTTATGGCTATATTTCGATCACTGCAAGAGAAAGACCTCTTCGAGCGCTACTACAAGCAGCACTTGGCCAAGCGGCTTCTGCTCAACAAGAGTGCCTCAGACGAAGTCGAGAGAAAGATAGTGGCCAAGCTCCGAAATGAATGTGGCTGCCTCTTCACATCCAAAATGGACGCAATGTTCAAGGACATGCACGTCTCTAGTAACACGATGCAGCAGTTCAGAGAAGCGGTTTCCTCTTGCAGAGTGGACTTGCACGGGGTCGACCTGAACGTGCGTGTGCTCACGACGGGCTTCTGGCCCCTGGCAGCAGCCACGCAGCAAATCAGAATTCCCGTCGCACCGTGGAGTGCTTACCAAGTATTTCAACGGTTCTACCTGGCAAAGCATAACGGTCGACAACTGACCTTACAGCCACATCTAGGCTGGGCAGACATGAGTGCCGTGTTCTACGGTCCGGCGGAGAACGAGCCGTCTACGTCCCAAGCGGCAAGCACATCGTCCGGCAAGGTTCAGCCGCGAACTTACGTCATCCAGGTTACAACGTACCAGATGTGTGTGCTGATGCTGTTCAACCGCTATGATGCGATATCGTGTCAAGACATCGCCTCCGAGACGAACATCCCCGAAACAAGCCTCGTTCGGGCATTGAATTCGATGTGCATGGGCAAAGCTTCCGAGCCCCTGCTTACCAAGACGCCCGCCACAAACGAGATCGAGAACGACCACATCTTTGCCGTGAACGAAGCCTTCACGTCCGGCCTCCAGAAGGTCAAGATTGAGTCAACGTCCAGCAAAAAGAACGCTGCCCTAAAGAAAGATGGGCCGGTGGTCAACCTTGACGAAGACCGAAGGTATGAGCTCGAAGCGGCCATTGTACGAACAATGAAGGCACGCAAGACGCTGTTGTACGAAGACCTTCTCGTCGAGGTGACGAAGTCGCTTCAAACCAGATACACTCCAAGTCCTGCTGCATTCAGGAAAAGAGTCGATGCTCTCGTAGAAAGGGAGTACCTCGAGAAGGCCAGCGAAGACCCCGAAGTGTACAACTATATCCCATGAAAAGGCGGCAACAGCTGATACGTACGTCAGTGAGTCCAAATGTGCAGCCAACACAAATATATATGTAAAAATATTAAAAAGCTGTCTTCCGATTTCGCGCATTGTGTGACGTAGGCAGTTCCACAACTTTGTGGAAACTAAATTTCGCCCTCCTACTGAAAATGTAATAAATATTCTTCGCGGAATCTCTATAGGAGTTGTGTGAGTGGTCATGTTGTTTCATCATGTACGCTGATGTGTTTTGTATAAGTGACATAACGAGAAACCATGTCTGCAGCACCAAAATGTCACGCCAGACCAGTGTGAGACAAGAGGCTAGTAGTGCGCCTTTTATTTAAATCGTTACTTCCACAGCACACATACCTTTGATTATATTGTTTTGGGTCTCGGGATGTAAGGGCCTATTTCAGAGCTAAACAGCGGGTGGGTGAGCACAGGCGTCTCTGAATGCCCATTTATTAATCTATTACGGGAATCAAAAGTTTTTCTTTTTTTGCTGTATATTCGGCATGAAAACGCGGTTGTAACTTTAGTGAACAGTCTCGTTTTGCATGCGGTCTACAATCGAGAGTATTATTTCAAGAGGTGTGTGATTCTCGCATATCTTCGTGTCGCTTCCGCCTCACTTTTAGCATGTCTGCAGCTGTTAAATTGTGCCATTTCTATGCAAATCGTGCGCATTAACTGTCAGAAACTAGTATCTGCCGTGGGAATTTCTAGGTAAATGAATAAATTATTAAGTTAAATGGTTACGTTCCCGATAGCACATTATGATTCAAGTGCGGATTTATGAAGATAGTTTTTGTTCTATTTTTTTCTTATCATGGCCTCGAACGTAACCGCGTATCGTTTGAAGTTTATTATTATTAGCGAAGTAACGATACATAAAATGAAGGAAACGTATTGCAGACTAGGGTCCCATAGTTCGAAGACTGTAGGGAGACCCACGATTAAAAAAAAGCATGGAAAAGAATTGCAATGGCAAATGGCTATCATTGATATCGCCGCGGACGAATGATAAAAAAAACCATTGCAGTTTTGCAAGTACTAGATGATTGTGGTAATTACCTTGTATAACATTTCGTTATACACTTAATTTTTGTAAGACTATAGTCAACATTGGCGAACAGTGCTGACTTTATGCGATTAAATGCTGTATGCAGGCCACAAACAATCGGTCTTCTTTGCAAGGTTTTTGTGTGTTTTTATGTTTCCCTCCTAATATAGTGCAGTTGAAACAAATAGTAAACTCAGAGGGATAGTTAGAGGACAGTAACCAGTATCCGTATCCTGTTAAAACTCTTCTCCTTCTGCGAGCAAGCCACCTTGTTAAACTATTACGCAACTTCCGCGCACGCGTGCGTGTTTGTGTGTGTGTTTCTACTTATCTACATCCTCATCTCTTTCTCATTCTCATTGTTTTATTTCTCACTTTTAACGTGATAGCGTAGTAAACTTAAATATGGGGGGGGGGGGGCGAAGTCTGCCCTGTACGTTGACATAAGGATGGTGGTGGTGGTAGTGGTTAGAAGATGAGAAAAGGCACCTAATTTCTGCAGCCCGATCAGGAACACGGCGCAGTGCCTATATAAGGATGGGGAGGGATGCGCTGCGATAAAGGAACCATCGCCCCCCTCCCCTGAAGGGCAGCCCTGCGCACGCCTATCTAGGGGGGGGGGGTGTAGGATCAGTACATTGACTAGGAAAAAAACAGCTTTCGCATTCTAGTCCTGCTGGGTAATTGCATAAGTGAGTTTTTTTTTTGTAACTCCTTACCCCTTCGCCAACACTGGGTAAAAAAATTGGATATTAACCTCCCGGTTAAACCTGTCTGCCTTTCCGCATTGCATTTATATATTTCTCCTAATTGTTTTTTTTTCCTTCGTAAAGGTACGCCTAGACGCTATGCCTCCGTCGCCAAACGGATCCTGGCAGAATACGTCAAACACATGCACACTTTACAGCGTTTGTCTCGTTTTTCTTCCTGCCACAGCAAACTTTTTTTTCTGTATAACCTTATAAGCTCATATTTTGTAGCTTAGTGGACAGATCATGATACTGGTTTATGATTCGACAGCGAGTTTGCGACTTCCCTTACGTGTTTTGTGAGAATATTGGTCATTAAAAGGCAGCGCGTCGTTTTGCCTCTGCGCCACAGCGCCTTCCTCGTTGCGCCTGATTACGCACTTGTGTCACTGCTTGGCAAAAGAAGTGAGCGAATGTGGCGCTTGACATTGATCCGCCGCGCTTTGCGGTTAATGCTTGCCTCGACCGCTCCCGACGTTTGAGGCGGGGGGGGGGGGGGAAGACATGCCGTCTAAAATGAAAGTATCTTCAGAGAGACGAGCCGGACTGCGCCCATGAAGGATTTCCTTCATTAGATATTGAACGAAGCACTGTTGTGCAGGTGGTGGCGGTGGGTGGGCGGGGCTTGGCAAAGTGCCTCTCATATAATGACGAAAATGACGCTGACGGGAAATTGGCCACCGTATACAACGATCACACGCAAAGAAATGGGAAAAGCGAGCGCGCGCGTCTGCCAGGGTGATGCCGCTCTCGCGTTCCGTGATGACGATATACATCACGTTGTAGATTAGAGCAGGCCTTTCTGAATAATCTTATTTACACTAACCAGAGTGCGACAATTAAACTATTACATTACTTTTGTTGGGGAAGTGATTTTAAATGAAAAGAAAAGTGAGCCTCGTAACTGTCTCTCAGGGGAAGGACACCTCAACAATCGCTCACGAGGGGGGGGGGGGGTAAAGGAGGGATTAAAATGAGAGGATTAAAAAGGTAAAGAGATGGGGAGAGAGGAAAAAGAGAGTGAGGCGCAGGGACAGCGAACGACAGAAGTAAGGAGAAGATAGGAAAGATGGAGACGGTCGCAGGAGTCCGAGGACGGGACACCACTGGCGAGAGCTCTTGTCGGTGTCAGGAGATGGTGTAGGGCCAGCCCAGTCGGCCAGAGCTACGCTGTCGTCGGATATCACGAGGGCACAACCGATCGGCATGAAATCCAGCGAGCGAATCTTTACTTCTGTGGACCTTTTTGAACATGTTCAAGTTCCATGTTACTAACCTTACTTAAATCAATTACTCCACCGATGACTATATGCGTGACGCGCTCGCATTCACGAGTGCATCTTGGGCATGACCAAGGTGTTAGAATGCACACACTAGGGTAGTGGCTGAATGTCATCTATGCAAAAAAAAAAAAGAATACTGCCACGTAACTACCGACCACACCACAGTGCAGTCTAGACATCAAAGAGTGGTTCTACAAAGCCTATTGTAACTTAGGGTGCTTTGAGACTTCCGAGTATTTTAGATGCGAAACTTCTTATGGTCGAGCTCAATCCGGTGTGTGGCGTGACCACCCTTACTGCGCATGCGCAACTTCTTCTCTCTCTGCTCACCTACGCTCCCTCCCTCTCATGGCTAGCAACGCCGGCTCAGGCAGCGTCTGCTAGCAAACGCTCGCTCCCCCTCTCTCTCCTCTAGACATTTCTCCCCGCGGCGTTTACACGTTCACTGTGCATGCGCGCCCCCTCCCCTCCTCTCCTACGCTCCCATCTCATGCTTCGCAACGCAGACGAAGGTAGCGTCTGCTAGCGAGTTTGTTTTTCGATTGAAAACACCAACTGCTCATGCAACCGAACCGCTAACTGGCCACCCCGCATATACAGGCCCTAGATCTTGACCTCCAAGGTAGTGCCGGTTGGACATTTCTCGCGCGCTTTGTTGAACAATAAATAGTCGCAGCGTGTGCATAAAATAAAAGTGGACTGGGGATATGTGTCCAATAAGAATCTTCTGTCCCTCATTTTTCATTAGCAGTGATTCGCATGTTCCAGTAGGAAGCACCGGTCCACCAATGCGTGCTTTGCGCCTCCACTGGTTTCTCCCCTGCGCAACGCCGCGATGAGCGCCAGCGTCAACGTCGCCCCCAATGGCGTCAGCGCGCGCCGCTTACACACTGTTTTAATTAGCGGGAATCACAACGATGTAATTTTTTCTGTTGTATCGAACGATAAAAATGTGTCTACTGCAGGTATTATCTCTACTGCTATACGGATAAAAGGCCAAAGATATTGCAAATGAGTTCTGCGCAAACCCGCTAGGTGGCGGAAGGGTCAAGAAAGGGAAAGACAACTAGCCGTTTGTAGCACGAAGCCACAAGGGAATCCAGTCGGATTTCTCAGAAGAAAAAAAAAAGCCTCTTAGTTACCGAGAAATGACCCCGGACTATAGGACGAATTTCTCGGCAAATAAGAGGCTTCCCCCCCCCCTTTTTTTTTTTGAGAAATCCGTACGGATTTCCTCGTGGCTTCGTGCTACAAACGGGTGATTGTCTTCCTTCCCGTTCTTAGACCAAAAATATATTTGGAACACACCTGCTAAATAGCCCTATTTCGGCTGCCGAGCTTGAATGCCAATCTCAATCAGTGTGTCAGCGATGGCAGACGACGGTTTTCGTGACATCAAACGCATCTTTTTCTGTGTTCTACCATGTGCCGGCTCAATTAAAACGCCCCTCCGCATGATAACTTACATCCAAAGCAGCACAAGCAACACGAAACGCTACACTATTTTTGCAGACTTGTTTCGGGCATGACGCGTGCATCTATGCAACGCATCTGGAATGAAATATTTCAGGCCATAGTTACAAGAGAAGTGTTCTGCTTCCATTTTGCGCGGTATTGCGCAACGCCAGCAGCTTAATTATTTAAAGAAAGGATGTTGGAAAAATAACCGCTCAAGCAATCCGTACAGGTTGTTAATCAACGAAGCTTGGACACGAGACCCCGTTGTTGGCCACTGAATTAATCTGCGTGTTCACTAAAGTTTTTGTCACCTATTTACGTTTGTCCCAAAATATTAATCTTTTCCACCCGTGTGTTTTCTTAACGTTTTTACGAACCAGCGGTTAATAGTGACATTCCACCGTTCTTGTGGTACGCTTTTGCCCGCAGGAATTGGGCGAATATTTTGCCTAA